TGATCTGTTAGTCATATTCCGCTGTTGTGTAGTTCCGACATTTGTTCAATGATCATTTAATTTATAACATTGTTTCTCTTGATCAATTAATCAATCAGTTAATCGATCAACTAACTAACGATGCACGTACTCATGTTATTCTGTCCAGTTCATTATTGTTTCCACACACACACACAAGACAGTACTTTTTTGTTTTAATAATTTATAATACGCATTATTTTTTGTTCTTTGCTTAACCCTCATATTAAAATTATTGTCAATAATGGTTATATTTATATGAAAGTATAGATCACCATATTTTTTAAGTAAATGCACTAAATGTTTTATTAGTATAGATTTATAGAAAGTTAATCGAGATTTTCTCGACTTTATTATTATTATTATATATTGTTTAATACATCAGTTAAGACGGAATTATAGTTTAAAAAAAACAAACATCTTAATTTATTTTACAGACAAATATAAACACTGGATGATTTGCATGAACTTTGAGTGTATGAAGTGACCTAAATTTCATTGATATACAGATTGTGAACATTGAAAATACATGTAGAGAAAGTACGTAAAATACGGTATTCATTGTATTATAAGTGGTTGATGGATGAATATATTTTTTTTGTAACTAGCTTTATGAAAATTGTATTCGATTATGTACCTAAACTTAAGTTAATAGCTCTCATTCGGGTCGTAAAAGGACTTGTGTTCTTAGATAACACGATATATCCGGCCGAGATTTAAACTTGATCATTGATATTGTGTTAATTCGACAGTTATTCCTTCCGTACTAGTGATTGTGAAGTTTTCAATTGGTACCGTGTATTCTTAACGATTACTATACGAAGAACATTTGTATCCAAATGAGTGTTTTTAGTAATTTGATGATTAATCCCCTGATAACGTCTATTTTAAGACATAAGACAGCATTATGTCGACAGGTTTATAGTGAGACCATTAAGCCAGCACATTTGTATCCGTGTTATGTGCTACGCAGTCGAAAAGGCTAATCGATTAAATAAAACCCAAATTTATGGTAGTCATTTTGATCTAAGTACTGTAGTTAATATCGATGATAAAGGGATGTACGAAGTGTTATTTAAAACATGTAATGACGCGTCGACTTTTGAAGGGTTGACGAACGATCACATCTACAACTTAGTGACTGATATTCAGTAACTAGTCGAGGTCAATCCGGACCTATTTCAACGAGCAGGCTAGCTATGTTAATGTCTACCTCTACTTTGTGATGTACACGTAGTATGTAATAAATGGATTAATATTTTTTGCGTGAAACAAGTGTCAGCAATCCTTTCCATATTTCTGTTTCATCAGCTACCAAGATGAACATAGTGGTCGACTTTCTTAGTTCTTATGGTCAGATGAATGGACGACGCATACCATTACTGAAGCGACATTCTGTATTTAGGAGGGAAACTTAAAGACCTTTCTGGTACTGGCAAAGTACATTATATGGGAGAAAAAATTGTCTGTTGAACTGCTTAGAAAAGTTCAAGAGTGAAAGTGGCCTGCAGCTAATCATTAATAGATGTTAAGAGAGACTGATATGCTGTATGATAGTGGACGAGTCTGATTGTTATCGCAAAGTGAGAAGATCAGGTAATACTTCAGTAAACCTCAGTGATATCCTAGGAAAAGTTACAGCCAGACTTCGCGCAGTATGTTAACACTTATGGCTTAATTGGTTATTTTGTAATGGTGTTTCTATCCGGTATAACATCATGTGGGGTAATCATCTTAGGTATCATTATAGTTAAGCGTATTGTTTTCGATGCCACTAGATTTGCTTTTTCATTAAATGAACTATTAACGAGTTCATCCAGTAAGATTGTGTTCAACTAACAAGCACTTCACAATAACTATTGGACTGCGGCACACTAACAAACAGTGATCGAGCAAGTTAGTTCTCAACAGTTCAATTAATATTAAGAAGTACATGACATATTCTTACTTACACCTGTTACCCTTCGTGCAAGTGTGTAGGCTGCCCACCACCATTTTCTATCGAACTCTGTCCTAGGCAGTTGTTATTCATCCTTTTCATGTCTGCTTCCTAGTGTGTTCTTGGGTCTTCTACTCCATTCCCCTTCAAGATTCCTAGTCAGTGTTTACCTCGTAATTCGGTTTAATGATTTCAGCAATGAATTTCCTATCGACTTCCAGCGTCTTTCCCTAATTTCCTCGTTAATTGGAAGCTGGTATGTCCTCTCCCACAGCAAGCTGTCGCCGGTGGTATCCAACCATCGGACATTGAGTAGACATTCTGTAGACAAATGTTTATAAATTCATACGCATTCTTGATGATGGTTGTAGTGGTTCCCCAAGTTTCAGCACCCTGCAGTCGAACTGTCTTGACGCTCGTACTGACGATCCTGAATTTGATATTGGTTGCTAGTCGTGAGTCCCACGAGTTATTCAGTTACAGGAATGCTGCCTTTGTTTCGGCAATCCTTGCCTTTATATCTGCATCGGATCCACCTTGTTCGTCGATGATGCTGTCAAGGCAAATACCTGGAAGTTTCCACCTCTCCCAGAGTTTCTCCACCAAGTGTGATTGGATTGGTGCTCTCCGTGTTGTGTTTGAGGGTCTTTGTTTTGCCCTTATATATATGCTGAGGCCTATTGCTGCTACACTTGTTGTCTTGACCTGCATTTGTTGATGTGTATGGGATAGAATGACCAGGTCATCTGCGAAGACCAGATCGTCTATTTGCATGCAAGCCGTCCATTGTATTCCGTGCTTCCCCTCAGATATATGTGTCTTCATAATCCTGTCGACCACCATAAGAGAAAAGAGAGAGAGAGGGAGTTAGCAAAGTTGTCTAACACCGGTATTCACTTGGATTAAATCTGTCAGCGGACCTCGATACACGAATGTGCATTGTGGTTCGTCGTAAAGACTCCGGATGATGTTGATGACCTCAGCTACTCACTCTATAGTGTCGAAGAAGTTTTCATAAGTTTCTTCTACCCATACTGTCGAACGCCTTCTCATGTTCAATGGAGTTGAGATTTAGCAGCGAGTTCCATCCCATTGATTGTTCAGCGATGATTTGTGGCAACACCATTTGGTCTGTACACGACCAGTCCTTTCGGAATACAGCCTGTTGATCTGAAGTTGGGCGTCTACTGTGTCTTTCATCCGGTTCAGCAACACTCTGTAGAAAATCTTTCCTGATACCGATAGTAGTGTGATGCCTATGTAGTTCTCATACGTACTCAGATCTCCTTTCTTTGCTATCCTTCTTTCCAGTCCATCGGCACTTTCCCCCCCCCCAAATCTTCCTGAATAGAACGTGAAGCATACTTGCAGTTGCTTCTATGTGTGACTTCAGCTGGTATTTTGTCAGGTCCTGTTGCTTTCCCGCTCTTGATTTGTCTGATGGCCATGTTGATTTCTTTCGTCTTTGGTGGAGTGACATCTATAGGAAGGTGTGTTTGTGCTGCCTCAATGTCCAGTAGATTCAATCGTGCTGGCCTATTCAAGATTTCCACCCATCTGTTCCTCTTGTTGAATTTCAGTGATTGGTTTGTCTTCTCTGTTCATGACCGGTCTCGTTGGTTTACTATATTTCCCTGTCAGTCTCTTCGTATAGTTGTCTCATATTTCTTTCTGTTGCAGCTTTTTCCGCCGTCGTTGTTAGGTCTTCCATATATGATATTGCTCAGTACAAATGACATACCTACTTCAGACATTTATTTGCCAACGATTACTGACCCATCCCGTGCTGTTTACAGAATGAACGAAAATAAGTTTAGAATTCCACTGTTACCGTAAGTAAAAAATCCAAATTATAATGCGGAGTTTCCGATTAATGATGAGCGCAACGATATGATGTGGTCGAGTGTTAGTTGCAATTAAGCCTCTGAATGTTTAGAAAAAAAGATCTGGACCCAACGCTTAATTTTTGGGCATTGTGTCAGTTGACGCGAAAATTCGAAATGACTTCCGAGTAATAACATTAGTAACTGTGTACGACGTGCTTTCATGACTATCCACGGACAGACAGGCACTCCAGATAGATTCGGTGTTTCTAATCGTTGTGAACGTCTGAGCTATATGTTGCACCCAAACAGTGGTTGCTGAAATTCAGACGTTAGACCACGTATTCCAGGTACAAAACCCTTAAAGTTATTGTTTGCGAAGTAGCTTTGATGAACGGAATATTTAAGTGAACATTAGAGAATTTGACGTTTATTTCCATTAATTTCATGCAATTACCAGTTTCATGTAATATCATTGTCCTCCTAATGAGGCAGCCATTAACATATAAGTTCACAAAAGTACGAAATTTTGGTTCAACCTTTAACTTTAAGACTGCCAATTGATACACGGTTCCAGCATCAAAACAATAAACTTAAATAACACCAACAAGTTGGACAATGTAGCGAAAACTCCAATCATGACATACTGGAACAACTAACACATTAGTCAACTAAAACATATGCAACTAATGTTCACCCACTTGGATTATACACGAGTCCTCAGCAAATAGTAGAAAACAAGTGCGACGTTCTAAACGTGACTGAATGAAGTGCTAACCTTTTACTAAGCTCTATATGATTAAGCAAGTGTCAAACACGTTTAGTCTCTCACAACTAGGTTTTATGGCTAAACTAATTAAAATCGAAGTCCTTGAAGTCACTAACTTCTAGTCTGATTCATGTTGGTAGACGCAGACTACTTGGTTGGGGTCCGCGTGACTATTGTAACCAATGATTGGAGACTCTGAGCGACATGGTTCGGAATCAACAATGGCGTAGGTGTATACACTTTCTATCTTCCCTTAAACTATGAGATTAAAATTATCTCACATCTTTATTTCTATGAACTAATTCTTTCTTTCTGTACTTTATCCTTACATAAAATCTTTCTTTTATTTATTACACCACCGAACTAACTACTTCTATGAATCCGGTGTCCGTCTTGCCGTGCTAATGAGCTATGACAACTTGGACCGATCCATGTATGTGCCTGGTCCTACGTTGTAACTGATTAACGTTCGGAACCTAATGAATGAATTAAAGTTAAAAAATATCTCAATAGCTTACTCTTCTATTCAATATGGATCACAAGAATAGGAAACCAAAAGACGAAGTGAAAAAAAACAACCAATTTTATTAGTGCAATGTAAAGTTAGGGCATATTTCTTAATATATTTTGATATTCGAAGCAAAAGAGTTTTAGAATACACTTTTTTTTATAAATAAAACAGAAATATATTTGTGTTAAGCCCATGTAAATCTCGACTTAATCAGAACAACGTAAATTTATAACAAATTAATAATTAAGTACTTTAGTTGTTGTTGTTTTTTTTATAAATTTTGTTCGTAAGGTTTCTCAACAAAATGCGAAGTAGAAAGATTAAGTGAAATAATACCAATAAAGAGTAGTATTATTATTATGAAGCAATTTAACCAAATTAATCGGATGCTAAATAAATGAAGACCATTTTTTTTAATCGTCATCACGATCACGTCTCTAAAGGAAAGAATTAATAATATAAATTAGATCTGTTCAATAATTCATTTGAAAATCGAAATATATAGACGCTTTTAATCGAGTGGTAATTATAAGTAATGTGACCAGATTGTTGATAACATTTGCTTTACATTTATTTAGATTGTGTAAAAGTTCTTGGTACTTAGTTTTATACAAACATCTTGGAAACCAAAAGCCACACCATAGGATTATTACTATCATGCAGTAAATTAATTAGTGGAAGTACTAGGTGAAATACAATAAATACCTGTATAGAACTTTAATCACTTGCAATAATAAGAATATATAGGCCTATTCATTACTGTATTCTCTAGTGTTAAATGTTGGGAAGTAGACAACAAAACTCTTAAGTTACAGTTTACATTTAAAATATCGTAGAGATATAGAACTAGGAACATACCCTTTTAGAGTTGAGGATTATAAGAAGATGACGGAATATTTCGACAAAATCAATGAACAAATCCAACGTGTGCCTGAAACAGGGCAGAAAATAAGCAAAATTGAGAAAAAGTTCAGTGAACGCTTCATGATATTTTACACTGAGTCTTAATACGTAACTTGTTGAACTGTGATAGTCAGGTGAATATCCTATCAGATTATAATGTTGAGTGTATGCTATATTTCTAAGACATATATACTGGACCTACATGCACTGATATCCACATGATTGACTTGTAGGTCAGGAAAGGCAAATCCAAAACAAACAAGTTTTAGCCTGGTAGATAAGGTATCAATGTTTCATCTCTGCCATTACCATGTCCCAGCTATTGGGACTTTACGGTTGTTGGATTATTTAAACTTTTCTTCAAGTGAACTTCCATCATTCGGTATATTGAAAATCCATCAGTTTAGAGCGGTAACCACTTTTAAAAACATAACACTATTATTCTATTTATGACCTTATCTTACTGAGAGAATTCAGGTTTACACTATGACATGATACTCTAGCAAAGCACTCGGTATCGAACTGAACATAGTTGCAAAATCTCTATACGTAAATGATTCAAAATGAACACTCAAGCTCTTAAACAGGGTGAAATGGAACCACATACTAGTAACTGGATTTTATTATATTTCAACACAGTAACCGGAAGCTGTTGCACACAGAAATTGATACCTGAATGAAAGCGATGTTTTGATTACTAATTTTTAAATTTTCGTATTTTGTTTTGATCAATCTATTGGTGAGTGGACAAGTTGGCCTTATTATCTTGAACAGAATGTAGTTAGTGCCACGTTGCATTTAGCTTTTCATTGCAATGAATGTCCTTTACTATCTTCTGATCTTTATCATGTTAATATTCTCTTTTGCATTGTAACAATCTGGGTAGACAAACATTCGTGTCAGCCCTTGACTGATATGTTGCATTAATCCCGACTTGATATGCAGAGTGCAGAGTGTTTGTATGAATTCTGAGGTCAATCAGTAGTGAAAGCTCTACCATGTAACTCAGTGAACTCACCATACGAAATCAGTATCCCCATTACGGCGCTTTTCAACAATTAATTGGGTATCGAAAATCACAAATGCACAAAATATAGCCAATCCAATGTAAAGTTCAGCGTTGTATATGGCCGGAGAACGAATAAATAGGTTCATGAAGCTAAATGTTGTCAGCAAACTGATTGCAGACATCAATCCAGCTATGGAACAAAGAAAAAAATTCCAATGCATCGACACCAAAAAATCGTATTAGTAATAGAACTACAACTTTTTATCTATCCAGTTAAGCTATTATTTAAGTTTTCGGTCATCTGTGATGATAAATATTTACCTCTAACAAGCTTTATCTGTATAGGTTGTAAGCAACTGAGAGAACACAAACAAACAAAATGAAACCCTGTCATTCTACTCAAAACTTTATTCTTACTATTTTCAACATGCGACATTACCAAATATAGATCAATTGTTTCTTTATCACTAGTTACATACTATATAAGTCTTCGCTCATTTTGCACTTTACGGATTTACGCACACGTATGGCACAAAGCTGAGTTGAGATGGTGGAGTTTTGTGCTGATGATGTCGTTCAGAAGAACGATGAAAGCTCCACGACCAAACCATCCAGCTCAGAGAACAAAACTCCACCAACAAAGCCGAGTGGATAAACCTGTATCTAGTAAATGAGTTACTTAAATCCGAATTGTACAGCTAAATGAAATATAGTGGTACCAACGATCAAACACAAACTTACGTATGCAAATGTCGCGGAGCAGTAACTCAGTGGTTAACGTGTTTGACTATTAACCAATTCGCAAGTTAGAACTCCGTCCCACTTCGTTTTGGGAAAATAGGCAGCATTACTAGTCATCAAACCTAGATTATAACTCGAAGCTAAATACAAAAATCTGTACCCGAGAGATAAGCAGTAGACTAAATCAGATGTGAACACTAGAAACTGAGACTAAATAATCAAAGTGTGGAGAACAATTTCCTAGCTAATAAATACAATAGTTGTTGATTTTGAAATGACAAAAATGACTGATGAAAGCTAGGGTTTTGATTTAACCGATATTTTATTGTCGGAACAACAATAGCACTCACAGTATCACAACTAGCGTGCCTTCGAGGTTAAGGTGTCCATCGTCAGGGGTGACTTTATGATTACAATATTCAAATAACAAAAAGCAAAAACAAATGAATGGACTGAACTTGATATATTACTCAATAAAATCACACATTCGGTTGTAATGAATAGCTTTCGGTCACTCGAAAGTGGAATTCTAATATAAGAACACTGTTTGTCCCTAGACAGACACAGCTGTGAGATGCCACAGCGTTTGACAGGGCAAGGTCTCTCCTACTCATTAGATTACAATGAAGGTGGTCTGACTCAGTGGTCGGTTTCGATATAAGTTAACCCAATTAAGAACCTTAATTTATGATAGCTTAAAAAAGGGCTAAGCAACACACATCTACTATAACTTAATAAGTCTGATTGGTTGATGTTTGAATATATTTTAGCACTACAAACAATTCACATAGGGTTTAAGACCAAAATAATCTATGGTGGGGGGATGTATGAAGTGCCAAATGCAAACTCATATACAACTTCAACACCATTAGACATGAAATACATCAGGATTTGCTATTACACAAAATAGTTGGGTTAGAAGACATACAAAACAAGGCAATTAAGTCATCAGTGAAACAAGAAAAAAATACAAACTCACCACCAAGATAGATGTAATATCGTTTTCGTGTAAACAGTGCTGTTAATGTGAACGAGACGAAAATCAAGGCAGTACCCAAAAGGGCAGTTGGAATAGTATCAGGACTGATTACTGACAAAGCTTGAAGAAGTGGACCAAAACCAATACCTAGAATGAAAACAGGTAACTAGGATCTGCATGATGGGATGAACTAGCCTTATGCATTTAACTGATAAAAACTACCATTTACTCACCACGATTGACGTGACTGCACTTAAATAAATACTGATAAAAAGTTTGAATCCTAAAACTCTGCTATTCTAAGGATCCTTGGTAGGGTCATGGACAATTATTGCTGAGTCTTTTGCTAGGCTGAAATAGTTGGTCGGTGCTTCTTGGATTTTTAATAGCTGTCTGGCTAATATCAGTTTGTAATGTAAACTAACAAACAGTTTCGTAGGGAAAGCGACATTGTGCTGTTAGGTGGAATGAAATGGCATAGACCTGATGATAAGTCGAGTAAGTGTGTATCAATGTAGCCTGGACTAATTAAACGCCTATGAACAGCAAACAATTACGCGAGATGAATTAACCGGAATCAGAGTTAAGAAATGAGCTTATGTAGTTTGTGACACGTCAGGAACCAGTTACTTGGAAAGTGATGACTAGAGACTAATCCAAACTAACAGGACCTACTTGCACTACAAGTCCTTACAAGTAGATGATTGTATCATTTTACTTATATTTGTTGCATTCCCACGTTATCTTAATTCTTTATGAGAAAGTATAACGGATAACATTGTCGTGTTACGGATTGAAGACAAACAAGATAAGCAGACTAAAACCACCTTTCAGAACTACACTCAGGACAAGAAACTCTTACCTGTAGAAAAGCAGAACAAGAAGAAAGCACCAAGTCTAGAATGAAGGGTTTCTCTTGAGTGTTGTGTGAAATAAATGAACAAAGAGCTTCCAAGGGATAAAATGAATGACAAGACCACCAAAGAAGTTGTAATCGACTAAAAAATGGTGAAAAAAGTATTAATAAAAGTGATTATAGTATTATGAGATGTGATATAATGCACAGATAATTCTGACAAACTTTTAGTGGGATTTTGAAAGAGCAAGTGTAACAGACGAAAACAGATATGAATCTAGCTTTTTAAGTCTTGGAACATCCTTCAATTTAGCACTGACGCCACTTACCATTGCTTTCCTTACAAGCAGTTTTATTTGGTTCAAACACAGCCCTGCTATAACAAAACCTATGAGGCCTATATCGCTAGTATCCAAAACACTGGATGCATAAATGGACACAATTGTGACTGATTTTAAGTCATACTATCAAGCGTTCCTGACTAGTGGTTATAATAATCGTGTAGGTTCTAAGCTGGAAGTCTGCAACTACCCAAACGACTCGCTTTAACAGCTGGTGAATTTGCGGACCAATGCCATATTCTTACCTACTAAATTTATTAGGACATAAAAACATTGATAGAAAAGGGTACCAAGAGCATATGCGCCACATAATAACAATGAGGTTGTGAAGAGAGAGAATGTAAAGTGAGGATAATAAAAAGGACAACAGTGACCAGAAATTAGTGTATGAGTGAAATAAGTGATAATAATAATAATAATAATAATAATAATAATAATAATAATAATAATAATAATTGGAGTCAGTTCAGTTAGAAGAAATAAAACCAGAAAGAATTCTTTCATTTAGAGAAGTTACGTTTACTTTCACGAACAGAAAGTTACAGCAGGATTGCCACTGGTCTGATAACTTCTCCAGCCAGTGTTGCACCATTTCTAGGACCCCAACTAGAGATTCGTGAATTTACTCATACCAGTCGTTATTGCGGACAGTAGTGGTAGTTGGACATGAGTAATACGCTTCAAATGCAAGACGATGAAGGTTCATGAGTTCATTAACTATGACTTTCCCAAGTAAAACCTTATATGTAGCCTGAGTCACCTACTTTGTAGTGAGGCCATATGTGAACAATGTTACGAAAACGCTCATAACTGGACAACTGCAACCTGAATTTTTCTCCACTTTCATGAATTATACTTACATAGAGTTGTCGAAAATCACATTTTTAGGGTTGTAAGAAATGACAGTCTATACTTTGAAAACTAGTTATCCCAAGATGACATCAAACATATCCTATCTTACACTGTGAACAAGCTACTCGTGTATACTCGATTTTTCCTCTAATTTACAACTGGTAGGACCACTTTATAGTTTTTTTCGCTTTTCTGTGATGAAATATGTCATCTCAGATGAGCGTAATAAAACCGTTTTTAACATGAACCCTTCGACTAGAAGCTTACGAAAGTACAACAGAGCTAAGCTTAACAGTAGTGCTCAATTGTTTGAGAGTATTTTTTTAAATAAGAACTAAACGGAATACTAACTTAAGTGGAAAAAATGTTAAAGTAAGTAGTCAACAAACAGCACTTAAGTTCCTTAATTATTTAGTTGTTCTCAACTCACCAAACTAATCTTAGGTTAGTTTGCATCAACACAGAACCTGGCATAATTGTGGGTCAGTAAAAGTTGCTTTATCATCAGATGAAATTAACAAATACAGTAAACGAACTAAAACGTAATAGTAACGAGAAATTAGGTATTGAAAGCATGGTTTGTAAAGATGAAAAACGCATACGCGAACCAATAATGGGACTCAGAATCTACGGCAAGATAAAGCAAACGCATCTGCGTCACTAAGATCGATCCCAAAATGTCGTAAATTGCCTTCAAACGATGAACACCACTGCTGTATAGATTCAAACCAGACGGACACAGTTCAATTCGACTGTTAGTGACCTCACTGATTTATGTTAAATCCTGTAATTGATGTCCCAACCTTCACAAATCAGTGGATAACGCTTATGGCCAATCTTCAGAAAAGCCTAATGCCCTAGCTCCATCAACCTAAGACGGCGGCTGTTCTCTGTATACTCTCGAAGGTGGTATGAATTTTATTAATAAAGTCACGACCCACGACATCGCTTTGAGAGTCATTTTTTAGTTGGTGACATCGTTTATTTTCTGCAGATACTTTGATGGAGGATTAGAAATAATAACTGGACGATTCACCTGTCAGTAGTGTCACTTATAGATAAAACGACTGTAGATTTCCCGGTAGCATTGAGCAATAAACGAACTCCAATTATTCGTAAATGCATAGAGTAATTACAGTTTAGACTGTACTACTGTTAACCCAAATAATTATACAATTACTACACAGATTTATAGCTTTACTACAAAGGACGGATAAGTAACAGTAACCAGTCTTCAACTTAACTAGTATTTAATATAAACGCAACTCACCTGCAGAAAAGAGTTTATTTGAAATAAGTATGCCCCAACACATGATATTATCATACCAATAGAGAGGGTACTGTATACGTTCTTAAGATGGACTTGAACATTTTTGTCACTAAGGTGGAGTAAAGCTGAGTAAGCACGATAAACTTACAGATCTCGAAAATTAAAAACAGTCCCCAGATTCATCCTCTGGGAATGCGAGTAGCGCGACATAGCCAACGGAATATACGTGTACTAAGAACGAAAGGAGCTTTTTAAAACAAGGGCGTACAAATTTCAACAGCTTCCTCTCACGGTACATTCATATTTCAATATAATTAAACGGGGTTAGTGTAAGCTGATTTACATTTTCTTACTAAATATTGGTATTGGAGTGTAGCTTCTGTTCTTTGATAATATTTGGTATGATGTGTCAAGATGATCTGGCAAAACTATTTGTTGATGATATATGTAGTGTTCAAACAGTTCGAACTATTGTACACGAAAAATACGTTTACGTTAAATAAGTCTTCATGTTTATAAGCAATGGATTACTGGTACTTCTAGATAAATAATTAGATAGTGAAACGAACAGCAATGAAACTGTTATACACTGTATTAAGAATAAACCAGGTCTCCATTAAGAAGACAAAAATTAAGACTCGTTCTCTGATTTAATTTTATTGTGTGGAGATAAACGAATCCCCGGAACAAGTGAGTTTTCTGGACCTTTGATAGTTCTGATGGTTCAAATGGTTGTGGACGGAATAGAAGAAGCTTTCGCGTAACTGGCTTCTGTGTCTAGTAGCAGTGGATCACCAATACCTCCAGGCAGGAACCTAGATATATTAACGATAATAGAGGCAAATAAAAATTGGTGAATCATAATAAGATACTACCCTTATTCCTTAACTCCTCCTGTAGCTCTTCTAGAGTTACTGCCGGTCCTAAGCCCGGGTAAAGGAGAAGGGTTGTGTATGGGGTCAGCGACCCCATCCCATAGAAAACTAACTCGCTAAAAAAACGCTAGCCAGAAAAAATAATTCAAACCATTTAAACTCTGCCCTGAAAGTTAGAAGGTCTTCATTTAGAAGAACTATGACGCTTCATGGTAAAAGCCGAGTTCCTTCGGAAGTTACGAGGCTGATGCCTCTTCTGACAGCCAGAACAACAATTTTTATAAGCACATGTAACGTCCGGACAATGTGGGAGACCAGGAAGGCCAGTCAAATAGCAACAGAAATGAGGAGATACAATATGGCAGTACTGGTAATCAGCGAAACCCATTGGACCCAAGCTGGACAACAAAGGCTATATACGGGAGAGATGCTACTATACTCCGGTTACAAAGAGGAAAATGCTCCATACACTCAGGGAGTTGCTCTGATGCTGACATAGGTTTAGATCACCACCTAGTTGTAGCCAATTTAAAACTGAAGCTAAAAAAGAACTGGACAGGTGGACAAACAACACTACAAAGGATCAATACAGCCTTCTTTCGAGATACTGACAAACTCAATGGATTCAAGATAGCTCTCAACAACAGGTTCCAAGCCTTACAAGATCTACTGAAGGAAGAAGAAACTACTATGGAGGACAACTGGAAAGGTATTAAAGAAGCATTAACTTCAACATGTCAAGAGGTTCTGGGCCTAAAGAAACACCATCATAAGGAATGGATCTCTATAGAAACACTGGACAAGATCAAAGAAAGGAAGAACAAGAAGGCAGCAATAAACAACAGCCGAACACGAACAGAGAAAGTCCAAGCACAAACTGAATACATAGAAGCAAACAAACAAGTAAAGAGGAGCATTAGAGCCGACAAGAAGAAATACGTGGAAGAACTAGCAACGACGGCGGAAAAAGCAGCTAGAGAAGTAAATATGAAACAGCTTTACGATACAACGAAGAAACTATCAGGGAAATACAGTAAACCAGAGAGACCGGTCAGAGACAAAGAAGGCAAGCCAATCACTGAAATTCAACAACAGCGGAACAGGTGGGTAGAGTACTTCAAGGAACTCCTGAATAGGCCGGCTTCAATGAACCCACAGGTTATCGAAGCAGCTCACGCAGATCTTCCCATAGATGTCAATCCACCAACTACGGAAGAAATCAGAATGGCCGTCAGACAAATCAAGAACGGGAAAGCAGCAGGGCCCGACAACATACCAGCCGAAGCACTGAAATCAGACGTCGAAGTAACCACAAGCATGCTTTACCTTCTATTCAAAAAGACTTGGGAGGAGGAACAAGTGCCGATGGACTGGAAAGAAGGACACCTCATCAAGATTCCAAAGAAAGGAGATCTGAGCAAATGTGAAAACTACAGGGGCATTACACTACTGTCAATACCAGGGAAAGTCTTTAACGGAGTTTTGCCGAACTGGATGAAAGACGCAGTAGACGCTCAACTTCGAGATCGACAAGCTGGATTCTGTAAGGATCGGTCGTTCACAGACCAAATTGCGACACCTCGGATCATTATCGAACTCGTCACTGTACATCAACTTCATTGGTTATGAAAGTGTGTTTGGCAGTGTAGATAGGAGGACGTTATGACGGACTACAGTGCAAAGTAGTGCATGGAGGACAGCTGACAGATGCATCCCAAGTAAGGACCGGAGTCAGACAAGGCTGTTTACTCTCTCACTTCCTCTTTCTTCTGGTGGTCGACTGGATTATGAAGACCTCAACTTCTGAGGGAAAACGCGGCATACAATGGACAGCTCAGAATCAATTAGACGATTTGGACTTCGCAGATGACCTAGCCCTCCTATCGCACACAAATAAATGTAGATAAAGACAGCCAGTGTAGCAGCAGTCTCTGCATCAGTAGGCTTCAACATAAACAAGGGAAAAACCAAGGCCCACAAATTCAAAACGAAGAACAGCGATCCAATCACTTTTGATGGCGAAACTGTAGAAGAGGTAGAATCCTTCACATACCTGAGAAGCACCATTAATGAACAAGGTAGTTCAGATGCAGACGTAAAGGCGAGGATTGGTAAAGCAAGGGCTGCATTCCTACAGTTGAAGAACATATGGAACTAAAAACAACTTTCAACCAATATCAAAGTGAGAATCCTCAATACGAATGTCAAGACAGTCAGTTCTACTGTATGGAGCTGAAACCTAGAGAACTACAACAACCACCATCAAGAAGGTACAAGTATTTATAAATAGTTGTCTACGCAATATACTCAACATCCATTGGCCGGATACCATCAGCAACAGCCTTTCGTGGGAGAGAACATACCAGCTTCCAGCTGAAAATGAAATCAGGAAAAGTCGACGGAAATGGATAGGACATACATAAAGCAAGTCATCAAACTGATCATGAGGCAAGCCCTAACTTGGAATCCTGAAGGAACGCGGAAAAGAGGAAGGCCAAATAAATAGAACCAGTTATGAAAAGAATGAATAACACCTGGGAGGAGCTGGAAAGCATTGCCCAGGACAAGGTTGGATGGAGAATGCTGATAAGAGGTCTATGCTCCTTCACGAGGAGTAACAGGCGTATGTAAGTTAGTAAGTTTTACAGCTAGTGACTGCAGATTAGATGGCAGCGTATTATCGACCGGCCCAAAGACGCGTAAACACGTGAGAACAACTTAGAGTCCTGATTGGTCCTGCTTCCCCGCATAGCCCAGCCAGTTAAGTCCAGAACATAAGTCTCAGTCTCTGAGATATGAATCATTATATTTCAAACATACTCTGTTTATATACCAATCAAGCAAACCACATCGTGCCATAAAATAGAAAACAACATTTGTACAATATTTGGCCAACAGAAAAATGACACGTGAAATGAGTATTGACCAGTAGGAAAATAACACGTGTTATAATCTCTTTCTTACAGTTATGACCCAGCTATTACTATTGCTTAGTATTCTCGGACACCAATTCACTCGACAAGTCCCCAAATCAGAACACGGTTGAACAGGAAAAAGATTATATTCCAAACAACAAAGTTAGATGGAAGTAAGATGCACAATAGAGAAAACGTTAGTATATTTATAGTTTTTACATGAGAAGATTCCAGAGTATTCTCCAAGTATCGACTAGTGAGGACTGGATGAGAATTAGCCAATCAGCGTGCACCAAAACAATCGTGCATTGAGCATGTTTTAATCCAGTCTATGTCCCGCTAACACCTCATCTTTGAGCAGATTCGTAGGATCTGGTGCTAGGAGGATGCTTACGCTGCCGAGACGTACTATTCGGTGGACAATGAGCTTCTTTATGTCCACGTTTGTTGCACATCTGACATTTATGCTTCTTAAACTTGCCTTTGTGCTTAATCCTGGTATCGTACGGCCTATCCGGGTGCATATGGATTCCATTTAGCAACCGGTATTTGTTGTCACGAGATGCTTCCATAGTTGCAGCCGCCATATGGGAGGATGGGAGGGTTGTCTTCATCAGCCGGGTTCTAGAATCTCTGTCCTTGTTGTCTAGTCTCAGCTATTGTTGAGTCAGTATGTTTTTGAGCTTCAAAGACTGCTTGATGAAGTTCTGTAGTGGCATTGGACAATAGCCACACAATCCACAAAGCTGTGAACACGAGACTACTCAGAAAATAGATATTCAATATTTAACTCGGGGAAATACCTAACAATGGAGAAGGCGCGAACAATGAATTGAATGGACTGGAGTTGATCGAGTGGCATGGCTCGTCCATGCAGGCGTGGTCTCTGCTGAATGTTACCTTATATCTTCTATTCATATTAAATATATTGTTCCTTCTCTAGCCTAACCTTGTTCTACATAATGTACTGGTAATTGATACGATACAGTGAGTTGATGTAGCCGATGGTGTGACTTCCACGTAAGATCTTATAGATTAGGCAGTTATATCATGACAAATCTACAATTTCAGGATTAGGTCTATTATTAGAGCAGTACTAATATCATAGTAGACCATAATTCTACAGTTCCATCCCCTAATACCAGAGTTAGTGTGATCAGGATCCGTGTTTTCTGGTACACCTTGCACAATTGTATTTCTTCAGCGGAAAAACGTCTCGCAACATTCCTTAGGGATGTTCCGGATGATATCGCGCTCAGAATATGATATGTTAGGCGGTATTTTTACGTTTTCATCTAATTTCAGTAAGTGACTAGCCAGTAGGGTATCCTCTACGTCGGTGGTGTCAGTGCGTCTTACACGACGTACCCTTGAGTCCTTTCCCCGTGTGAGCCGTGTGACACCCAAAGGCTCTATTTAGGGAAGTTCGAGATTCTTGTTTCACTCTTCCCAGAACATCCTGTTATTTTTGTCCTGCAAACTGAGGGGTAGGTCAGGGCTGTCTTTACGG